ATGCCACTCCTGGGGTGACATTGGCTCCTTGGCTAGATCTTGCCTTCTTCCTAGGCGGCATGTACTGAAAGTTAGAGCAAAGCACGTGTTAAAGGAGGAACAATCTTACAATCAGCTTTATCGCATGATCGAGAACATCAAAGAAGTGTATTATTACTAAATGCCCAAGTAGCCTCCTAATTATAGATGTGGTCGACAACACACCGATAAGAAGGACTCTACTAGACACGGCTCCAAGACATCCTAGGACACTTTAAAACCTTACGCTCTATACTAATTTTGTCACACCCCGACATCGGGGAGTGCGACCGACGCTCGACCGAGATAAGCCGACCGAGCAAGCCTACTAGATTGCCTTCTACCCAACTCATCCATAAATAAAGATAATATAAACTTCATTAATTAACACCAAGAGGGTTCATGAACAACACTAATTCCATCACCATTAGTTACTTCATTTATAAAGTCTCAAAATACATTCACTTTCATAGTTTGGAGTGGAACATGTAATACACATACGAAATTACTATCTTGACTTTCCCAATACCAATACACAACCCACACCATGTCTACGGAGCCTTTAATAGATACAAAAGAGTACAATGATAATGCCGGCAACAAGGCTCCGGCTATACCTCAAAACATAATATACACAAAACAAAAGATGCACGGCCCCGAAATGAAGTGGGGCTCACCAAGTCAACTAGGAAGAGAGTGTACTGCTATCACTGGTCAATGCTTTCTGCTGTGGAACCACCTGCATCCATTAAAGATGCAGCACCCCTGGAAAAATGGATGTTAGTACATTTCGAATAGTACTAGTATGAAAACCAAACACCTATGCAAGGACATGGAAATACAACATGAATATAATGAATCATGGTAACAATAAAAGGCTTAGATAGCCGTTAAAGCCATAGCAAGTTTATTAAGAGCTTTCAATAACATTTATAATTTTTTTTAAGTCGGGGATCCTCTGCAACTACCTTTACACAAAACATCCCTGCCGCCTCACCCCAATATATACGGGTGGAGGTGCAATCACAATACCAGAAACTCTACACAAAACGACCCTTCCGCCTTACCCCAATGTATGCGGGTGGAGGTATATTCACAACACTACAAACTCTACACAAAGAGGCCCTATCGCCTCACCCCAATGTATGCGGGTGGAGATGTACTCACAATACCAAAAATCTACATAAAGTGGCACTACCGCCTCACCCCAATGTATGCAGGTGGAGGTGTATTCACAATACCACAACTCTACACAAAGCGTCCCCGCCGCCTCACCCCAATGTATGCGAGTGGAGGTGTATTCACAATACCAAAACTCTACATAAAGCGGCACTGCCGTCTCACCCCAATGTATGCAGGTGGAGGTGTATTCACAATACCACAACTCTACACAAAACGTCCCCGCCGCCTCACCCCAATGTATGTGAGTGGAGGTGTATTCACAATGCCACACTTCGGATTCCCAAAATGATAATAGTTTGTATAAAAGAATTCCATTTCAAATCAACCATTTGGCACCTTTGGCCTTAGCAAATGTAAGTTTATAAGGTTTCATCATAAGAGAAATAAGTGTTTAATCACATTGATTTCATACAAGATCTTCTTCCCAAAAGGGGTATAACATAATTAAGTCAAAAATAGAGAATTAATAACATATGAGGGTTCTAACATGTTATGCCAATCGGGAATCAATTTTACTAGTTTGAATACCCCACATCAATAGCGTTCCATGTTCTAACTTCACACGATGGAGTTTTTTAAGAACACGGGAATTCCAATACCAGAAAAAAAAAGTTTAGCCTTCATACCTCGAAAGAGCTTTTCGTAGTACCACAATAGTGTCCCAACACTCCTAACGATGCCAATCTATCAAGGATGAGAGAAATATAAGCACGATTAGAGGAATTCGTATGGCAAGGGCTGTTACAAGTATGACCCAACCTTTCCCTCAACTAATTCAATAACAAAACCACCCAAGATTGTTCAACAATTTCCCCACAGTCTATATTAGCTCATGCATGTGATAAAACCTACCCTCATCACCCACAATCAACCCAAACCCGAAATTGAAGAATTGGGAAAAGAAATTCTTACCTTTTTGAAGCCCTAGCAAGTTCCTTTTGATGGAATTCCAAGGTTTGATCAAAGTAGAGTAGTGAAATCCTTAGTCCTCCATTTCCTCTCTCTAGAATAGCTCTCTTCTCTCTCTAAGATTTCAGGTAATCCCCTAAAAATGAACCCTTAGGCTAGATAAATGAAATGGGGGTCGGGTTATAAGATTGGAAAAATTGAGCCCCGACGCAGATCTGCAGTCGCATGTGCAACCGCATAACACTTCTGCGGTCCGCAAAATGGACCGCATAATGGCCCTCCAAAATTGGGCATTTCTGCTTCGCTCTGCGACAGGTCTGCGGTCCGCAGACCAACTGTGCGGTCACATAATAGGCCACAAAATCTCCTCCCAAAATTTCTCATGCTCGATCTGCGATGGGATCTGCGGCCAGCAAAATGGTTCTACGGCCGCATAATGGTCCTCAAAAGTAGAAAATCTATCTGCTTCGATCCGCGGCCGATCTGCAGTCTGCAAACTGGTTCTGCGGTCACCCTCGACACCATTAAACATCGGGTTTTAGGTAAAATTTTGTGGGTCCTTACAGGCCAGCCCAAATGACATTGCTAGGAACTTGTAGTGACCATACCGAGTCCTGAAAGCAATCTTCAAAATATTCGGATCCCGAATCTTCAGCTGATGATACCCTGACCTCAAATCAATCTTCGACAACACTCTGGCATCCTGAAGCTGGTCAAATAAGTCATCAATGCATGGTAATAGATACTTATTCTTGATTGTGACATTGTTCAACTGCCTATAATCAATACACATCCGTATAGTCCCATCCTTATTCTTAACAAACAGAACTGGAGCACCCCAAGGTGACACACTAGGCTGGCTGAAACCCTTATCAAGCAACTTCTAAAGCTTCTCTTTCAATTCCTTCAACTCCATATGTGCCATACGATATGGTGGAATAGAAATGGGCTGAGTACCCGGCACCAAGTCAATACCAAAATCAATATCCCTATCGGGCGGCATGCCCGAGAGATTTGTTGGAAATACATTTGGGAAATCTCTCACTACCAAAACTGACTCAACCGTAGGAGTATCAGCACTGACATCTTTCACAAAGGCTAAGTATGCCTCACACCCCTTCTCAACCATTCATTTTGCCTTTAAGAAGGATACAACCCTGCTAGGAATATAATCCAATGTACCCCTCCACTCCAACCGCGCCAAACCTGGCATAGCCAGTGTTACAGTCTTGGCGTGACAATCTAAAACATCATGATAGGGTGACAACCAGTCCATGCCCAAGATCACATAAAAGTCTACCATATTGAGTAACAATAGATCAACTCTGGTCTCAAAACTACCAATAAAAACTAAACACAACCAATAAATACGGTCCACAAAGAATCACATGTTATATCCAAATACGGAGCAAAGTAAGATGACACATATGAGTAAGTGGAGCCCGGATCAAATAAAAATGAGGCATCCCTGAAACAGATCGGAACAATACCTGTGATGACTGCATCTGAAGTGGTAGCCTCCGTCCTACTCGAAAAAAAAAGAACTGAGCTTGGACTCCCCCTCTAGGGTGACCTCTGCCTGCCCGACCTCCACCCCTAGCTAGCGGTGCAGGTGGGGCGGCAACTGAAGCAGCAACCATGGCCTGTGGACCCTGTGGAATCCTTGGAGCCTATGTAGTCGGTGGAGGTGCACCCCTCCTGAGTCTGGAGCAGTCCCTCACCATATGCCTAGTATCACCACACTCAAAACAAGCTCTCGGTGGGCATGACTGCTGAAACTTACTCTGGCCTGATCGGCTGGACTGACCACTGAATGCACCTTGTTTGGGAGGTGCGCTAGAAAGTGGATGAGCATGGTGGGCAACCTGAGGCCTAGAAATAGCCATAGCACTGCTAGTAGCTATAAGTGTTGAATGAACTAGCCGACTCACATACCCCCTACCGTGACGGGATGTAGTTGCAGTGTGGCCACCACTAAATCCTCCAGTACCTCGAGGCTTCTTGTCCGCCCTGTCCTCTCTCTCTCTCAGCCCTGCATACCGTCCAACCTCCACACGATCTCCACTACGTGCTGATACAGAGTGTTGACACTCAATGTTTACCCTCTGTATTTAAAAATTAAATTCTGCAGGCTTCCTTGTCAAAAAAAGATAAAATGTAGTATTTTGTACATTTTTAACTATGATGCAATTTATTGATAATCATTCCCATTTTTACAAAATACAGGAATTTTTATCTTTTTTATTGTAATTAATTAAATACTACCATTTTTGTGCATTTTTATAAAATTTAAATAATATATTGATAATTGTCCTATTTTTCAAATATTAGGATATTCTATCAATTTATTGTCTTTTCAAAAAATAAATAATAATTACTACAACACAATTGTAGTAGTTATATTTTTAAATAAATACTATAAGATTTTCTAATTTATAGCGCAGTCTATTTAATTACATGGAAGCCAGTAGAGTTTACTCCAAATACGGATCAAGCCCAATCAAATCATACGTCTTGTCCACATCTAATGTGATATGATAGTTGATGTGACTAGACACATGACATGATGCCTAGTGTGACATATCATGTGATGTGACATGATGCCTAGTGTGACATGTCAATGGATGTGACATGACTCTCTTTTATCCAATGGATAAACCTTCTACCCAACGGGTAAAGACCATTGGTTTGTCTTCTCCCGTAAGTCAAATAAATTGCACTGATACACATGTGCATACACAGATAAATAAAGGGTACATAGTACATTGCCCATGGGTTTCAAACTTAGTGGTTTTATTTTGGACCACATATTTATTTTTACATTATCTTTATTTTTTACTTAAAAATAATGACCACATATTTTCCTTACATGCACTTATTCTACACTATGCATGAGAGGGGAACCATATCAGATTTTTAAGGCAAAAAACCCTAGCTATCTCTCACTTCTGATCTCTCTAAACTTAGAGAGATCACCCGCATTCTCTAAAATTGGAGACTCTTATTTCTCTCTATCTCACGCCTGTCAACCCCCCCTCCCTTTCTCGCCGGCCAACCGTCGGATTTGACTACCGGTGGGTCTGGTCGGCCACCACTGCTACCACCTCACCTCCCTGCTCACATCTCTCTCACTTCTCTCTCTGTTGCGACGAACTCACTGAAAATCGGTGAACTTGCACATGGCATTTCAGATCTAACAAGATCTGGCTATAATTGATGTTAAATCTGGCGACCTCTATGAAACTAACACCGCTTGACCGAAGAACATTTTTTGATAATCTTTTGAATGTTGAGGCGTCGTTCCGATACTTTTGCCGTTGAAGCGGCGTCATTGACTCTAGAACTCTCTAGATCTGGCCATTTGTCCATTTTATGCTAGTTGCCTGAATTTTAGTTACCAGAACCTTGTTTTCAGTGACCCTCACATTTTTCGGCGAGCTTCACCAGCGGACGACGCCATTGTTTCTTTTGGTACTATTCGGGTGTTTGTTTTCCCTATTGTTATGGTCGATGGCTCCTGTCTCGGTATTATTGGACTTCGTCCCTATGATGTTGGTTTTTATGTTGGTTGGACTCTTGATTTTTTTCGGCAATCTCTTTGGTCGCTATTTTGTGTTATTGTTTATGTTCATGGATGTTAATGTTTTAATTCTTTTGGTTGACTTATCTTTATGGTGATGGATGTTGTCGGCTTTAACTCCACTGTGGCTCCCTCTACTAGCCGAAAATTCGTTGATGATTTTAAGACTATTTGCCTCTTTAATAATAGTATCTTTGTTTAGGCTCAGTTATTTCTTGTCCACGTTGTCGATGCTGTTGTGCGGATGCTTTAACAGTATTCATGTCGTGGATTTTGTTGTGATATGCTCGATGGGAATACTTTTTAGAGGTACGATGCCCCGAATGACTCTCAGATTTGGCCTGAAATAACGAGCCGATGGTGATAAACATCGAAAAGGAAAAAGATGAGAATTTGACGAACCAATAGCCCTTCGAAAATACGACACAATTAGCTATCTAGTCGCAACCAAGGCGGTTATCGTTATCATGTCTAGTCGGATATTACATATATCTGAGCCTCCTATATTATTTTTCTAAACTATTTTCCAATAAATAAACAATTTTCCAAAAGCATTTTCAAACTATTTTCAAAAACAATCTTTCAAAAATATTTTCAAATAAAATCATTTCAAAATAAATTAGTTTATTATTTACTTTATATTTTACTAATAATTTCCCTTCTTTTGTCTTGCGAGGTACTATCACACGAGGTTGCTTTCGGAAGATGATACCCGAAGACGAAAAGACAAATCCCCGTCAAGCCTCCCATTTCGTAACTTCCCTTCTTAGATGTACAAAACGCAAGTACAGTGAAACCGTAGATAGATATCATATTTGCTAGTTTACTTGATGTTTACATATTTGCCAACACTTCGGTTGTGTTGCATCTAGTTAATAATCCGGTCAACTTAAGATATTATGTGCTAGATAATTTTGCGAAACTTGTACGCAGATTTAGTATGTCAGATATATTTATAACTCATTTGATTAATTAGGATTAGTGTACACCTAGTTAATTAATTGAGTTAATAAAATGAAAGGCGTGTCATTTCCTTGTCAAAATAGGCGACTTTACCTCTTTACAACTGCATTAACATGATCTTTCTTTTAACCAATCTCTTTGTAAATTATTTTTGACTATCTTACTTCAAATAGACATAACTTGTAAAAGCATAAATGAGTCTACCATATGTAGGATTAATTCAACTATTGCATACACATGGGTCTAACTTGATGACAATGTTCTTTATGGGCTTTTATGATATTTTGTACAGGGTTGGTAATACTCTTAGCCTCTTTATATATTTGTTATCTACATATGCATTTTATATTTACTTATCTGTTCATTCAATTCTTTTGAACCAAGCTCTAGTTGCTTTCTTGTATGGTCTTAATTTTCTTTTGTTATAAAAATCAATATTCCTTTATACTCATACACTCTTGACAAAACGTTTTACGTTTTATTCTTTATATATTTAGTCAAGTATTTTAGTCAAGTATTTTAGTCAATTACAAAACACTTACTCATTTTTGAAGATAATTTTCTCCATTATTTATTTATTTTTTACAGATTTTCTTGTATATTTAATACAACTCATTGTAGTAATTATTTGACTTTAATCATAAAATAACTTCTTCAAGTTTATTCAAACTCTTTTAGAACGTTTCACTTGTTGATATACATTACTTATATTTGATTTAATTACTCCATTGTTATATGTAAGATTTATGTGGATAATTTCCTTTTTATACTCCCCTATTCATGACAACTTTCCCTACTTTAGTCGATCATTTCTTTAAGCTAATTGCTAATTGTTTTATTTAAAATAATTCTTTACCATTTTATTATATGCGTTCAATTAAGATCAATCTTGTACAGTCAAATCACTCGACGTTAATTGTAAATTGGGATCTCCTTTATACCTTATTTAGAACCCAATTCTTTCTATCGAACTCCGAAAACGATTTTTTTTTGTTCATTAATTTACTTTGCATATCTTACTGTATATATTTTACCACAAATGAAATGATCATACTTTGAATATTTATCCACCTCATGACATTGCATTGGCTACTCTTTGATAGGAATTCTTTTTGAAATAACTAATCATTCTTTTCAACCTTCCCTCCCTTATTTGATCGAGTCAACCAGAACTATATTTTTGTGGATATTGAGGGATGCCTAACAACTTTCCCTCGAGATAACTTGAACCCTTACCTATAATCTCAACAGTTTCGCAGAGTACTATAAGTTGTAATTTATTTCGTCTTGTGTAAAATAGGGTGCAACAACATGGCGACTCTACTGGGGATACTTCAGTTTCTAATCACAGCGGACTTGATCAATTACTTGAGGGATTACAGGTTCTCTGATACTCCAACTTCTATTCTTTCTGTCACATGCTTCAACTCATATATTCACTGCTTCAAGTTTTATACTCTTTGTTTCAAGCTGTATATTCATTGCTTTAAGTTGCATATTCTTTGTTTCAAGTTGTATATTCTTCATCGCATGCTTAAAGTAGTCTATTCTTTGTCATCCGCTTCAAGCAGTATATTTTGTTATGCGCTTCAAGCGGTATATTATTGTTATGCGCTTCAAGCAGTATATTCTTGTTGTGCATTTCAAGCGGTATATTCTTTGTCATATGCTTTAAGTGGTATATTCTCTGTCATCTGTATCAGGCGGCGTATTCTCTGTCATGCTCATGTTGTATATGCTCCCCACATATCTAAGTTGTATATTCTTGTTTATCCTAAAAAATGGAGAAAAATTAAATTTATTAGTGGTTTTAAGGATACGTGGATTTATTCAATACAAACGGTAAAGAATGCTAGAATAAACAGATAAGAGATGTAATAAATTATCATACCTCTTGAAAATAAAGGGGGGTGATTCTGGACTCGAGGGCAACCTCAATGAATAATCAGACCCCCCTTTATATAGTAAGGGAGTCCTACTCTAGGTACAATTCTATAAAAGGCAAAAAATCTTCCGTTTAACTAATCATCGAATTTCCGCCGGTACGTGCCAAGATCCACGTCGCGATACCCAGCTGGTCAGGGATATCACGACCTCCCGTTAATCATGTTCGGTTGCCCAATAATGCTCTCTGAATTCTTTTAAGATTTGGACCGATACCAGGGTCACGGCCCCGATATTCTTGAGGGCGGGCATCGTGCTCCCAGAACCTGTGTCAATGAGTCCCTTACCTCGATTTCGGCTCCTTGTCATCACGTCCCTTACTCAATTTATTTTATCAAAAATCGGGCTGTTTTATGAGTCCGATTTCACCCGTATACAGATAGTCCCCTCGTTTCTCGGAGAGTAAGTTTTACGGAAACGACGAGGAATGACATGAGTTCTTCGATCTCTTCTCCAACACGCTGCGACACGAAATGATAAAGAAACCGCAATGTCCCATCAGAAGCGTCATAATGACCCCCAACGCGTATCAGTCGTCAGCAGGCCACTCCTGGATGTGAAACAGCGCGAATCCCCTATAAATACCTCTTCTTTCATTCATCTTTTACTTTTGACCAAGCTTCTACCTTCGATCCTTCAAGATATCATTGCCTTCCTTCATTCTTCAATATTCTTACCTTCGTTCTTCAAATTGCAACCTTTCTTTTACCCCTCACTTAAGCCAGTGTTCTTGATTTTCTTAGCAAGTTCTCACCCTTCATCTTCTCATTCTCCTTCATACCTTCAAACCTTTTTATCAAGATAAAAAAAATGGCAAAGATTTCCAAGACCGTTCCCCAGAAAGATTCTCCTTCTTCTACGCAGCCGACCACTGAGGTCAAGGAGACCCCGCTCCTGATGTGGTCATCCTCGAGAGGTCCGCTCCGAGCGTGGCCACTGATGAATCGGTAGCTGAGCCCCTCTTGAAAATGTTTGGGGGGGGGGGGGGTGTTCGGTTAATGATGAATTTAAGGTCGAAAAGCCCTCTTCGATTCAAGGCCGATGCGAGGTGGTGTCACTGTACATCTGCTCCATTACTAAGGCCGTTCTTCCTGCAGTTCAAAAAGACTGTGACTGGGTGGATAAGGATGTAGTGATTCTCGGGCCCGATGACGATATCACTACCCATGTTGAAGGATATATGAGTATTTACACTTATCTCTTTTACATTGGGCCCGGTGTACCCGGTCATCTTGGACTTTTGTAGGAGGTACGACGTATGCATCTGCCAAATCCACCCATCGCTGTGGAGGATTGTGATCCTCCTCTGATTCTTTGTGAACAAAATCGATTCATGTACTGTTCACCATCGATCATCTACTCTGCTTGTACAGTCCCCGAATCTTACGGGAGGGAATGATAAAGCTTGTACGCTGGGCCAGCAAAGCCCCATTTTCAAGTATCGACGAGGACCAGAATTGGGGTTGGCAAGGATGCTTTATCCAGGTGAGGACCTCCGACCTGATACCTGCCCAGTGGAGGCCACTCCCCGAGAAGTACAACGTATCACGTAACTATAACTCTTATAAAACATTGATTTTATGTTTTATCTTCACTTTTCTAATTGGTGTTTGTTGTGGAGCAACCCTCGCTCGAGTCCTAAATGCCATTACTCGGCTCAAGGAGTGGATCAGAGGCATTTGTTCGCAGATTCCTTATGCCGAATGCTCATGGCACGAGCTCTCGAAGAGCCGCTGGGAGGCCCATTCTCACGGTAAGATTCTACTCTCCGAGTAAGTAGCACTAGACTTTCTTTTTCAATACTATGTCCTCATTGCTTCTCTTCTTTTTTGCAGGCTTGCCTAAGACCATCGAGCTTAGGCCCTTGGTAAGAGGTGAGTACCTGCCCGATGATCGTTCTGCTTCGGGGCAGCCCAGAGCCATAGCAGGAGAGAAGAAAAGGAGGAGGGCCCCGAGTTCCCCTAGCTCAAAGAAGAAGAAACCAAGGAGAAGGTTGGCTCGTAAGCCAAAGGAAAGGTCCAGCTCCCGAGTGCCTGATTCAAACTCACTCTTCTGGTTCAGGGACGAGCCCGAGGAGGACTATCTTTTGTGGCCCGCGAGCCGTCCGTTCCCGAGGAACAGATGGCAACCAAGGGGGAAACAATGGAGGCTAATCCCCCTCAAGTTCATGAGGCTGGTACATAGGCGAGGGTCGAGACCTCTCGAATCGTGGGCTTCGCCCAGTGTTATAGAAATTTTAGGATCGCTCTCATTCACAGAACCCATGTTCGATGAAGCCCGAGTGATGAAGGAGCAATCCAATGAAGTGGCTCATGGAGCGGACGATCCCCTTTGATGCTTCTTTGATGGTATAGACTCAACCGCCCTAGAAGACTTCTTCGGGTTGATGAATGCACAGTCTTTCGCTCAGTCTTTGATGAGTGCACAGCCATCTGGGCCCAGTCAGGGCAACAGGGGACCCCACCAACATGGTCGACCTGGAGGGAGATTCCAGCACTAGCGGAGGCCCCCATGCCCTAAATGTGGAAGGATGAATTTTGGGGTCTGCCTCATGGACCTACATATATGCTACGGGTGCGATATGAGGGGTCACATTCAGAGGGACCGTTGCTCGTCCCGCCGGATCATGGGAAAAGGTGCGGCGCAACCAGCTAGTTCTGCAGCTACTACATCCACAACACATCCTTCAGCTCGAGGCACCCCAGCACCCGCAGGGCATGGTGCAGCTAGAGGTGATGCACAGAGTTCGGGAGGACCCAACAAATTTTATGCTATGCGGAGGCGTCGAGATTCAGAGGCTTCTCCAGATGTTGTCACAGATATATTGATTGTCCAATCCCATGATGTATATGCTCTTATTGATCTCGGTTCCACGTTGTCCTATGTCACTCCTTATGTCGCTATGAAATATAGGAGATGTCTTTGGGTGCTGCTAAAGAAAGTGTCTAAACACATTCAGGGACCATGGTTGGTCACCGAGGACTTCAGCTTCATGAGCCGTTCTCTGTATCTACTCCGGTTAGCGAGTCTATTGTGGCTGCGAGGGTTTATAGGGATTATGTTGTCACACTGCATGTTTGGGACACCCTGGCCGATCTCATTGAATTGGGGATGGTTGATTTTGATGTAATAATGGGGATAGACTGGCTTTATTCATATTTTGCTAAGCTTGATTGTCGAACCAGGACTGTTAGGTTTGAATTTCCAAATGAGTCGGTGATTGAATGGAAGGGGGATGATGTGGTATCGAAGGGTAGGTTTATTTCTTACCTTAAGGCCACGAAGATGATTAAAAAGGGGTGTATCTACCATTTGGTTCGGGTTACGGACATCGATGTTGAGGTACCTACACTTGAGTCCGTGCCTGTTATGGGTGAATTTCCGTAGGTCTTTCCGTATGAGCTCCCTGGGATCCCACCAAACAGGGAGATTAATTTTGGGATTGATGTGATGTCGGGCACGCAGCCTATATCTATTCCACCCTACAGAATGTCACTAGCATAATTGAATGAGCTAAAAGAACAATTGAAGGATTTGTTAGAGAAGGGTTTCATCCGGTCGAGTTTGTCGCCTTAGAGTGCACCGGTCCTCTTTGTAAGAATGAAAGATAGGTCATTAAGGATGTGTATTGACTTTCGGCAGCTCAACAAGGTCACGATCAAGAATAAGTACCTACTGCCAAGGATAGATGATTTGTTTGACCAATTGCAGGGTGCTAAGTATTTCTTCAAGATTGATTTAAGATCCGGGTATCACCAACTGAAGATCAGGGAGCAGGATATTCCGAGAACAGCTTCCAGGACCCGGTATGGGCACTTTGAATTTCTGGTAATGTCTTTTGGGCTACCAAATTCCCCGACAACTTTCATGGACCTTATGAATCGAGTCTTAAAGCCTTTTCTTGACTCCTTTGTGATAGTGTCCATTGACAATATTCTGGTATATTCATGAAGTCGAGAGGACCATGTCGATCATCTCAGGGCAGTTCTACAGACTATATATCTACACAAGTTGTATACGAAATTTTTTGAAATGTGAATTTTGGCTTGAATCTGTTACATTCTTGGGTCATGTCGTCTCCAGAGAAGGATATAAGGTTGATCCTAAAAAGATTGCAGTTGTGAAGAATTGTCCTAGACCTACAACTCCAATAGAGATTCGCAGTTTCTTGGGCTTAGCCGGTTATTATAGGAAATTTATGGAGGGGTTCTCCACTCTTGCCTCTCTGTTGACTAAATTGACGTAGAAGGCGATTATGTTCCAATAGCCAGATGCTTGTGAAAAGAGCTTCCAAGAGTTGAAATCAAGATTAACTACGACACCGGTGTTGACCCTACCAGAGGGTACGTATGGGTTTGTGGTATATTGTGATGCTTCAAGAATCGGACTTGGGTGTGTATTAATGCAACATGGCAAGGTGATAGCTTATGCTTCTAGGCAACTCAAGAATCATGAAAACAACTATCCAACACATGACTTAGAGCTTGCGGCGGTGGTATTTTCATTTAAGATTTGGCGTCATTATCTATGCGGGGTCCATGTGGATATATTCACGGACCATAAGAGCCTCCAATACATTTTCAAATAGAATGAATTGAATCTAAGTCATAGAAAATGGCTTGAGTTACTCAAGGATTACGACATCGATATTTTGTATCATCCGGGGAAGGCTAATGTTGTAGTGGATGATCTTAGTGGGAAATCTATGGGCAGTTTGGCTCAATTGGAGGCATATCAAAGGCCGTTGGAGAAGGAGGTTCATCGGTTGTCTAGTTTTTGAGTTCGTCATGCAGATTCTAGTGAAGTAGGAGTGATTGTGCAAAATAGGGTTGAATCATCACTTGTTGTGGAAGTCAAGGAAAAGCAGTACAGTGACCCATTGTTGGTACAGTTGAAGGAGAGGATTCATAAACATAAGACCATGGCCTTTTCTCTTGGCATGGATGATGGTACACTAAGGTACCAAGGGCAACTATGTGTTCCAAATGTGGATGATCTCCGGGAAAGAATCATGATCGAGGCTCACACTTCTAGGTATTCGGTGCACTCGGGCTCTACAAAGATGTATCATGATCTTAAAGAAGTCTACTAGTGGAATGATATGAAGAGGATTGTAGCGGACTTTGTGGTGAGATGCCCAAATTGTCAACAAGTAAAGGCCGAACACCAACGGCCTGGTGGGTTGGCACAGAACATAGAAATTCCAATGTGGAAGTGGGAAATGATCGATATGGACTTTGTGGTGGGACTACCTCGCGCGCCTCGTAAGTATGACTCGATTTGGGTGATTATGGATTGACTCATGAAATCAGCTCACTTCTTACCTATTAAGGCTACCGACACAGCAAACAGTATGCTCAGATGTATATCGAGAAAATAGTCAGGTTGCATGGCACTCCAGTTTCTATTATCTCGGATCAAGGGGCATAGTTCACAACTAACTTTTGGAAGAAATTTCCGCAAGGTTTGGGTACTCAGGTGAATTTTAGTAGAGCCTTTCACCCACAGACTGGCGGGCAGGCAGAGCGGACTATTCAGATGCTTGAGGATATATTGCGCGCTTGTGTTCTTGACTTCAAGGGTACCTGGGATGATCATTTGCCACTCGTAGAATTTGCCTACAACAACAGTTATCATGCTAGTATTCAGATGGCACCATTCGAGGCTTTATATGGTAGGAGATGTAGGTCTCCCATTGGGTGGGGATAATTTTGGTATGGTTGGACTCCTAACGGAATAGGTGTTTGGAATTTGTGAGTTTGGTCGGGTTCTAAGGTTGTCACGACCCCAATTTCCCCACCTTAGGATCTCGTGATGGAACCTAGTCTCTAAGACTAGGTAAGCCTAACATTCATTGATAGCTTAGCAAGATTTAACAACTAAGATAATAAGATAATTCGTTAAAACTCATAATAACTCAAAACGGAACATCTATAACATAATTCCCAAAACCGATGGAACTGAGTCATAAGCCTTACGAAATAATCTAAGAATCTCTAATACAACATTGTCTCAATAGAAGATAAATAGTAGTAAAAGTAATGACTGAAGGTGACTCCGAGGCCTGCAAACGCCAAGCAGGTATACCTTGAAGTCTCCGAAATGTATGGTCAAATCACTAATGCCTAGCCCGAGCTGAGTACACCACAATGGTACTCAGTATGTATCAAACCTAACCTCGATATATTAGTGATGAGTTCAGGTCAAGACACCTACTTGGATAAGAGAAACTGAACAAGGTATAGTATAGGCAAATAATGGAAGACGAGGAAATAAATGACTATAAAGCAGTTCAATAAAGTAAGCTAACAATGGAATTTAAAACAATAAAGGCAACAAGGAGTGAACACATGGTAAGAACATCAAGAATCAATACGGACGAGTACAAGTAGGGAAAATAAAGAGATAACAAAACTGTTCAACCAACACGCCTCTTTAACATAGAATGTACAATAAGAATCACAACTGAGGTACCGCCTCATATCCACTTTTCACAATTCAAAATCACAACATTTCCTTATACCGCCGCGTGAGCCTTACATTAAGATATTTTGAAAAGATTTTTTCCGAAATAGCTACACGCACTTTAGCCCTTTTATGTCGCCGGGTGACTTCAAGTAATTTCCTTACTAGCAACTTGCACATAAATTCCCTCCTTATGTCGCGCACGCACATTAACCCCTATCCTTATACCGCCGCATGCGCATCAATATCACAACACAATAACAACTCACACCACAAGTGCCCATATGCCACAACTTGCCAAAATCAACAATACCAAAGTTACCACAACGTATAGCCCAGGGCTCAATCACAATGTGAACAAGAATCTCCATAATAACAAAGTGAGTGAGAATTTCTCAACAAGGAAAGACATCTCAATAATCAACAACTTCAAACAAGAATAACCCGGCACTAAAGGAGGTGACATAACAATAAGAGAGATAGCAAAGGCAACTAAGGCATATAAGAGCATGTTTGACAATAAGAGATAGAGTAGGTGATACAACATCAAGTAAAGCATGTAAGAAAAATTTAACAATGGAAGATCTAACATGATATTTCAACTTCTAATTAGATACATCAAAGAGTCTAAGAGTCTAAACCGGTCAAAATACCCCATATAAGCCTGTGTACATACTTGTCACCTCGTGCACACGTCTTTCACATAACCCAAATAACGTAAATCAACCCAAGTCCTAAGGAGTAGTTCGCCCACAAAAAGTTAGGCAAGATACTTACCTCAAACAAGCTAAATCAACCCACTAGTAAGCCTTTTTCGTGCAAATTCAACTTCGGATGGCTCGAATCTAGCCAAAATAACTTAATACCATAAATACAAACTATAGAAAATGATTTCGGATAACAAAGTTGCAATCTTTAAAGAAAATCATAAGGTCAACTCAAAAGGTCAACCCCGGGCTTGCACCTCGGAACCTGACCAAACTTACAAAATCTGAATACCCATTCTGATACGAGTCCAACCATACAAAAATTACCCAATTCCGACCTCAAATCGACCTTCAAATCCTCAATTTATAGTTTAAGACAGTTTTCACAAAATCCCCAATTTCTCCAACTCAAATCACTAATTAAATGATAAAAACAATGATGGAATCATGAATAATAAGCAAATCCGAGCACAAAAAAAACACTTACCCCGATCCAATCCTTGAAAATCCACTCCAAATTCGCCCAAAACCGAGCTCTCTAACTCAAAATAT